CGCAATTGCTGCGGCTGAATGCTTCTGTGATATCATACCCATGCGTATACAGGAGGAGCCATTATCTGCCGGCTTGGTTTTGGTTTTTGTCCTGGCGCTAACGTCGGGTGGTGTTCATGTCGCTGCACGACGAGCACTCGTTCGTTTATGAAGGCACGCGTACAAATACTCATCATTCATTTTCCGTTTGATTATCAGGTTACGTTGCCAACCTACAGCACGATCATTCTACTAGCACGATACTAAGGTGATTGCTGCTCCCCACGTATACGTGCGTCAGAACCCAGGACTACACCTTACCGCGAATGTATCTCGGGATCGATCATTGGGCGGGCGCCGAAAGCCGCGAAGCACCTACTTTATACCATTGTAACATGATTGATGCCCATCATCAACATCCAATGGGAAGAAAAGTATGTTTCAAACATGCCCCGGACAAGCCCCTCTACCCCCAATGCCTGCTAAGACCAGTTGGTTGGCCCCCATTTGCAGAATGCGATGTTCATCCAGATTGAGGCCGCGGCGTAGCACTATGACGACACGAAGATATCGAGAGAGCTCTACAACAGAAGACGAGGACATCGGCAACTACGCAACGTTGGCGAAATACCATCCCCCCTGTCTCACACTATCCAGGCTGTAGCTCGCCTCAGAGAAGAGCTCGGAACACCCACAAGCTCAACGGCAGCATGAAAACGGCCTGCTTGCAACAAACGCTACAACGTCGCCTTCGGATTGATTACGATGCTCGTTTTCATTGAAGCTACACTAGATGTCCTCGAAAATGTATATCGAAACACCAAAGCCCTAACATTACTCACGACTACGGATGAGAAGAACGATCACGACCGACTCCTCACCTCGAGGGGTTCCTGTTGGTGAGATGAGCTAAGCTTCAATCCACCGTCACAATACAGCGTCATGGAACATGCGGTCCAATTGGAACGTCTCAGTGGACAAAGCGCTTCTCTTTCTCGACCGCAGACAACCGAGCAAAGGCAAACCAGCTCTCCTCTAGCTCGGCATACATGGAAAGCAAGTAACGCAGATCTTCCCATCTGAGATTGATTGTCAGTTTATTCGGTCCATGCGTACGACAAGTCTCACTTAACATTATGACGCATGCTCTGTGATACGATTGAAACCACGAACACATCTTCAACCCACCACACACCTTTCCCCCTCCCCCTCCTTGGCCTGCTCCCCGCCGGGGCCGAAATCGACCTAGTGAGTCCCTCGCGGGCGAACCAGGACACAACAGATAGTAGGCGGGTGGTGTCCCAAGGTGCAACTCACCGCCGCGCTGGCTCAGCGTGGCGGTGAGGATGCACAGACGGTGGTAGTGGCGAGAGGTGTGTATGGACACTGTTCCCGCGGCAGTAATGCAAAGCGGCAAACTGCACCTGGCAACCACCGTCGCGGAAAGCGTGGCCCACGAAGCTGGAGGAGTAGAGAGATTCGTAAACACCACGTCAGTAAGCACCGCTCGCGGGAGAAGGGAGACGACCGCGGGCACCGCGGGGAGGGAGTGCTGCACCCTCCTCGTCAAAATGCCACAGGCAAGAACCGAGCTCTGCAGAGATGGATTGATTCGAGGAAACTCGCCGCTCGGAAGACACGGAAGAAAGCACACCCGCAACGCGAGGTGGACCGAGAGAGACACGAGACCGCAGCGGCCGTCAAGGCGGCTGCGAAGAAGAAGGCACGAGAGGGCGACCTATCGTTCGGCACGTTCAACGTACGCACGCTCGCCTACAGCGGTAGGAACCCCATCGGTCACAACGTGATGACGGTCATGCAGATTTGTTCCGCGACCGGCTGTGATGTGATAGGACTTCAGGAGACCCGACGAGAGGGGCAAGGTTCAATTGCACACGACGGGTACGTGATCATCTGGAGTGGCGCCCGTGCTGGCACCAAGGACAAGAGGGGCGTACACGGTGTGGGCATAGCGATCAAGGAGGCCATGTGGGAGAGTGTGGGCGAGGAAGGTAGGACGGTGGAGTGCATTAGCCCGAGGCTGATGAAGGTTCGTCTAGAAATTGGCCACACCTGCGGAGTAACTTTCGTGGTGGGGTACGCCCCCACGGAAACTGTCCGCACCACCGGGAGCGGTGATGTTAACGCCAAG